ATTATCGTTTATGGAGCTGCTCTGCAGTTGCATCTACTCTCACCTCGATTGCTGCTGTGTCGTCAAAGTATTTTTAGGGTGCGAAGTAGTAAAACCATTCCAGTGGAAAGTTTATGCGCGGCAGATTTGGTCTGGCTTCGGCGAGTATGTGCCACGTACCTACCTCTCCGTTTTCTCTTGTCTGCTATTTTGTGCTGCCTTTCTATCCGTGTGAATTTTTGGATGCTTTTCGCGTCTGTGTGGCCTTGACGATGCCGGCAGTCTCAATCGTTTGTAAACATAAAGACCTACTAACTATTTGTTAGTAGCCATACAGTAGTACGTTCACTATTTTTTTATAAGACTAACCTATTCGTTTGCTATTTTGGTCTACAGTGTCCCATCGCCAACTACAATATTAAAATGGCCCTCTTCTTCGATTGGCTCTTCTTTAAACCCAACGACTGTATTATGAATGTCGGTAAGTCCAAATTCATTATTCTGCAGTTTTTCTTGGCTAACCGGCCAATGTGGAAAAAATTGGGATGGGTCGCTAGCCAGAGCCTTAGCTATTGAAACTGAAATGAAGAAGGCTCTAAAACAGAAGAATGAGGCGACAGTTTACTTATTTAAAATCGTGTTTATTAGTACGGGCCAGTATTAAAGTGTAGTCTTGTTGCTCTAAAGATGCGAAAACACTCGATCACTGTGAAAAGTAGCTTATTCGAACTTTTGATGGGATTGCCAAACGAATCTCCAGAAATATTAGGGAATCAAGTAGGGCGAGGCCTTCAGTTCTGTCCTATGTGCGTTTCCCTACGGAGCCTTTCAGGCCGTTTCAGGCATTGCGCCCAACCTTATTATTCCACCACTTAATGTGTGTATATGTGTTGGAGAGGGAAATTGAAACCGATCTTCTCGTGCGTTTAGTTGTGCATAGATGTCATTTTAGGAAATTATTAAGATGTAGGAGGAGGAATTCTGACATCACCAAAACGTTGATGTAATAAATTATTTTTCTATTACTTGAAGGTTGTTCACTGTGGAGAGACGAGGAGGGTTTAGGTGATAGGTGTTGCCAAGATTGTAGTTTTGAATACAACGATGGGCAGTAAAGCGGTATACAGCTGCCCGTATTATAGGTGGTCAAAAGGACCAATTTACAGGGGCGAGGGGGGGAGTCCAGGGCAACCATTGCAGTGTGCAATAATATCTTGGTTGCTTAGACAAACCTCGTCAAAAGCTAATCGATTGTTGCATGCGCAATGTTTCCCGGTCGCCACTAGCGCTACGGACGTGTTGGATGTCTCTGTTGATTACTTCTGATTTTGCCTAATTTCAGAACCCGCCATATTGGCCATCACTAACAATCTCTCGGCCCGATCTCAACCCTTTGCACTGTCGCTGGTGGACTTTCTCACTAAGGTCAGTTTATTTTCGACTCATCAGCCACCGCT